AGTACCAGCTTAAGATCCGTGGGCCGCATTCAAAGCTAGAGTGGTAACCAATACAATGTTACTCTCTGTCGTGACGAATTCTCAAATTATAGCATGATATGGTGGTGTGTTTGGGGGCGCAATTGAAGTTCCGCGCTTTCTGACCTCGCAGTATGTGAACACTGAGAGATGAAGCCAACAGCTGCAGCGGATACAAGTAACCCTTATAACACATATTGCATAAACACTGTTCAGCTGAGTGACTATTTTTAAAATAGCCCAACAAGTAAGAGAACACATTATTATTGATTATTATTAATAAACACAACGTGAGTTCTACAACGTCCGGAGATAGGGACTAGCTGTATCGATTGGGCCCAGCTGAGTAGGCTTTTACCTGAGGACGGATAGAGAGTCGAGTCTCCGAAACGTAGTATTTATAAAAAACGGGACGATGGATATTGTCACAAACTTCTAGACCTTATTGACGTGAGTTTTGTTTATACTCTATACATTTGTAAATACGCTAGCATAATGTCGGTTAAAATGTAAACTGGAAATTATTACAAAAAACTTCGTCAAACTACCTAAGCTCAGTAGTTTGGGAAGCTCTGCTAAGACGCTTACATAGAGAGTGAACTTGATACAGTAATAATATGCATTAAGAAAAGTTGGTCCTGTGCTTGACTATTTAAGCACTACGCCATGAAATCTTATGGAGGAGTGGATGTATAGATCCATGTTTTCTTGATCTCAGTAGTATTTTGAGGTGAGTGGTCAGCTTCACGCACCGGCCGCTTTACCCCAGGGAAAGGGCTCCCAGTAGCAGTTGGATAAGAGGCTGGATGGGTCCCAGAGCCGGTCTGGATGACGTGGAGAAAAGAAAATCTTTGACCCTACCGGGACTCGAACTCTGATCCTTCGGTCGTCCAGCCCCTAGCTAGTCGCTATATTAACTGCGCTATCCCGGAGACCAAATAATATGAATTAAGTTATTCTTAAGATTTATCCCTTATTTGGTTTGTAGATTGTGTGAGTCTAAGTAAAATGGCACATAAGGTCAATATTGGAGTTTTCCATTTCTAGAAATCGAAAGAATTGTTACACAGAGTGGCGTGTGTCTGCCTGGGTGAAGTGGATGTAGCTGCCGGCTTCTTGTTATCGGCAGGAGATAATACAGCCAATATTACACAACACGGACAGATGGAATGGCTTTTTCCGCAACCAGCCACCAGCAGTATGCTCGGTATTATGACGATGGAGCCGAATACGCAGATATTGGCATGCAGGAGTGACAGTACATTTACACATTTCTCGTGGGTAAGAGTAAACCTAATCATGTTCGCGTGAATTCATTAGACCTATACCTTAATGGAAAGGGGAAGAGATGCTGTGGGGCCGTTTAGTGACTTGTTTTAAGAGAAATTCACACTGAAAATCGAGCAACCTTGCGACTCGTGACTGAATAAAATTCACCTCCCCCATATTTGAGAAGGGGCACGCGGTAGCGTAGTTGGTTGAGGCACTTTGTTACAAGACGGAAAGTCGCTGGTTCGAGTCCCGATGAGGTGGATTTTTTTTTTCAATTGACCTAATCCTTCCAGCCGCACTATCTCCCTGGGGTCTACTCAGTCTACTCAGCCCATAACATAAATGAGTACCAGGAATATTGTTGGGGGTAAAGTGCGGCCGGCGCGTAAGGTTGACAACATTACCGCTACCCGTGATCCGATTGTCTAGATAATATTGGACCCTCAACGTCTCCAACACTATGGGCCTCCATGGCCTGTTCCAGGGATAGTTTTACTCACCATATTTAAGAAAAGAGGAAATATTTTGTATTTTTTTATCTTTCTTACTGTCACGTATAAGGGGTTAGGATGGCGAATATGTGTGGGTTCTTGATTTGATTTGTTGATTACAGTTGATTATAACAGTTCAGATATTGCACTTCTTGAAAACCAATCTCTCACTGTTGCCTGAATCTCGGTCTGGTCTCTCGAATTCTCTCTCTGGATCTCTGTATCTCGAACTGCACTAGCTCAATGCGGACCCAACACGTATCACCAAGTAGAACAGTTTATTGTTCTCTTCTGCTCTCCGTTGCCATGACAACGTGTGACAATCTCCAGGCAAAATCTCGATTCATACCAGCGTACTCGTTGCCGCGGAAAAGTATTTAAGCTATCCGTTTTAACGGAAACTTACTCTTTACTTGGTCGTTGTTCAACAACGGTGGTCTGGCTCTGGCTCCGTTATTCCGACTTTCAGCCGTCAAGTCACAAAATTTTAGAACTGATTTTTGTGTTGCGTCCTGTCACTTCACAGTAGCTTCGGACTCTTCTCAGTTTATTTGAAGATAACTTTTTTCTGCTTAAGAAATTTTGGTAAGCTACAGTAACACTATGGTATCATTATCATTCAGTCGATGGTCGTGGCCGATTTATTAGAATTCATGCTTCATATTCGTTATGTCCTGAGATCGGTTATCCTGTTATCCTACCTGAATGTTCTTTTTACAGTTCGTCTAGAAATGTATCCTAAGATAGGCAATACAAATTACTTCGGCGTTCTTTCAAAATCATTATTAGCTAATTATCCTATCATTCGGATTATAGGCCTAAGCTTAGCAATTAAAGTGTCGTTAAATAAGTCTAAAATAAATAAAATACAATTGGCTCATTATTCGTAGGCAGTAATATAAAGTAAAAAATGGAAGTAGACAGTAAAAATTGACTGCTCCTCCAAGTAGGCCGCTGAGAAGGAGATAACGTTTTTCCTAAGCATCACGCTAGCCAGAATGAAAAGAAGAAAAATGTTTCACACATTCGTTCGCATGCCAAAACAGATGACCAAGTGGAGGAGAAATTTCACAGGAATTTGTTAACGAATGCGACTCCTCTGATGGCGAATTTATATCTACTGCCTCTGTTCAGTTATAGTTTTGATCTATCATCACCAAATTTAATAATAACGCCCTGTATTTCAAAGCAGTCAGTAGTTCACTGATATAATTTGGAGCGATATTTATCTCCACAGTGTCAGCATTGTTCACCAATGTTCAAGTTATCACAGACATGAGACAAAAGACGCAGTCTTACTTCATTCGTGATTCGTCAGCATGAAGCTGACGTCAGTAACATGACTCAGACCGGTGTGCGGTGGTTTACATATTCTCATTCGTTTCAACTGTGTTCCTTTCTTTGCGTCATGTCACAGACATCGTGTCTTGACTGTTACATGTCTTGACACATCCCGGTGTGCGGTCTACCTAACAGTAGCTACTACAGGACAGCACATCTCACACGATTCCTTGATTACTATTCATTCTGATTCGTTTAATGACGTATTCTAAGCTGTGTAGTTTACTATACACGTATTATATTTAAGCATCCTGTTGCACTATACACTTCTATACGTAATAATACAAATGCCGTCGTGAATGCAACAATTTATTTGGTTGTAGTTCTTTGACTTTTCTTCCCTTACACTGCATGTTTCGGCCGTAACTGGCCATCATCAGGTGTATTTTTCACTACGTAGCTGTCACACAGCACACAGTCCAAAATCCAAAACATCAGACTGTCAGTTTTGTTTTAAAATCTCGCCAACACAAGTTCGTCAATTTGATTTTAGAATTATAGTTTAAAATTTTAAAGTTCAAAATTTAAAGTTTTAAATACAAAAGTATTAAAGATGAGCAGCGACACACACACACGGAGCCTGCACAGAACAATACGTCAACGGTACTGGAAACAAGAAATAGCTGCTGCAGCACATGTAGACACAGAGCGGGTGTCCCTGGTATTTAAAACTGTAAATTTTGAACTTTAAAATTTTAAACTATAATTCTAAAATCAAATTGACGAACTTGTGTTGGCGAGATTTTAAAACAAAACTGACAGGCTGGTGTTTTAGATTTTGGACTGTGTGCAGTGTGACAGCTACGTAGTGAAAAATACACCTGATGATGGCCAATTACGGCCGAAACATGCAGTGTAGAGGAAGAAAAGACAAAGCTCTACAACCAAATAAATTGTGGCATTCACGACGGCATTTGTATTATTACATATAGCTGTGTAGTTTAGATGGAGTTTAACATGAAGGAGGTTGTGATCTGTTTATATATTTGTGGTTTATTCAGCAACTCAGTCAACACCGCAATCTATATAGGCGATTAGAAGGATGCGCAATGAATAAGGATTGGAAAGGATATAGCAGGAATTCGTCATGACCTAACTGAGGTACGATAGTAACATTTTCTTGGATGGACTGCAAAACACATAAAATATACCAATCAGGATAATCAGTGTCCCGGTCGCGTTTCGAACTGGGAACCTCTCGAATATACGGCACTTATCATGTTCACGTTACTAATCATTCTCTTAATTTTTTTTAACAAGCCAATGACAATTTGGAAGTGAAACTTTCCAGTCTTGTGTTACTGTATGTTCAATTACCAATTATGTTATTTAACGGCTCGGTGTCAACTAACACCTGCGTTATCTCCGGGCTGACCCACTTAGTATATTTTCCCCTGTTAAGATTTTGAACACATGTTACCTGATTTCAAAGCTCGTGACGATGTTATATTAACAGAATACAAGTGCAACAGCGTAAACGGCGCCTTCTTTACAACAGTAATACCTACGAAATAAAGACGAAAATAGATACTAAAGCATCAGTGTTTGTTTTATTAATTATACACAAGTGTTGTCTTTATTTTGTAGATATTATTGCTGTGTATGTGGCCCCATTTACGCTATTGTACAACACACAATAGGATGCATACCATAAAAATGATATATTAATATAGTGGATATTAGCTACTGTCCTGTTTTGAATAAAATACAGGACGACGGATAATGCCAAAAAAGTGAATAATTGTACAGACTACCGGATTATATGAATCCGTAACCTTGGAGTACATCCTCATGCCTGTATGTGAACATATCACCACGGTCGTCTGTGGAGTGAGAACTAGGTTATCTGTAATCGCCTGTCCTTGTTTGTCGTTGCAGGTGACTTAGACGAGCCTCAAACTGTAACGGGCGGCATCAGTCAAAGCACCGAAGTCAGGGGCACGCAACATGAGGCGGCGCCGCTCCTCCTGACTAACCTACTGACGAGAGTGAATTAACACAGTCAGCCTAACAACGCATCTCCAATTTTGTTTCAGTTTTTTTCGATGTTAGTAGCAGGGCCTACATCTTCATCACTGAGCGTGAGTACAGATTGTTAAAAATATTTCGGTGGTCATATCCACATCAGTGTTAATTAATGATATTAGGCCTAATCGTATTTAACAGCTTAGGCCTATACAGTCAGGATTTACATGATGACCATGAGTATGACGATATTAGTAATAAGGCTAATGAGATAATGCCTATTTTAATAGTTTCTTCTCTTTATCTACCTTACCGCCATCTGTGAGCCGATTGTCTAGATAATGTGGGACCCTCAGCGTCTCACAACCCTATGGGCCTGCACGGCCTGTTACAGGGATAGCTTTATTTTTTTTTTTTTTTACTTACTTTACTTCCCTTTATGATCTACTATGAGTTTCTCTCTTTACGTCAAGGTTATATGCCCAGTAATTTGAGTTCTACTGTAACGAAAATGTAATATTTTGCTTATATCAATGTAATTCACTTTTTAGCTCTAATAATGGAATACGTTCGTCACTTGTCAGATAGTAAGCTGTCTAGAAGACTTCAGGTTTTCTAAATGTTGGAGCGAATTTTCTTGATTGTTTGTGTTCCCAGTTTTTGTTCTTGTGCCCAATTTCTTATGTGCCTTCCAATTTTCAAGAAGATGTATTTTTGTTCTTAAGGTCTTGAATTTCTAATCCATTTTCATGTCCTTGTAAGTAAGTGAAAATTGCATCAACTCGCAACTCGAACCAAGCCCTTGCTTCTAGCGCATTCCTAAATTATTGACAGAAAAACGGGTTGTACAGAAGAGTTTATATCTGTCACATTTCAGCCAACTCTGTTTCATTCTGTGTTCTACAACTTTTTCAGTCGAAATTTTAGGTCTGACAGTTAAATGACTATTTGAAGTAGATGAATTAGGTGAGCTATCACCACTGCTACCATCACGCATATCGCGATATTTGCACAATTCTTTGCGAGAAATAGCAAATGCTTCAATATCCGTTTTATTGTTTTACGAGCCCTCCCGCCGGTCACAGTGACCTCACGGTCTAAGGCATGAACGCTGGGAGCGTGGGTTCGAATCCCACTCAACGCATGGATGTCTTTTTGCGTTTATTCTATGTTCGAAATCAGTGTATTTCGGCTGATAAATCTAATTACTTCCTAGCACATAGAAACACAGAGATTCACACTCACTCATGGAGCTGAGCCCTTCTTGAGAAGCCGCCAATTGTGCAGCTGCTCAAGGACTTCCCAACATTTTATGGAACCCGAAAGTTTATTACCGTGTTGACAAGAGTCCTCCACTGGTCCCTATCCTGAGCCAGATAAATCCAATCCATACCACCCCATCCGATTTCTCTGAGATCCATTTTAATATTGTCCACCCACCTACGCCTTGATCTTCCCAGTGGTCTCCTTCCTTCCGGCTTTCCCACTAATATCCTCTCTCCCATTCGTGCTACATGCCTTGCAAATATCATCCTGCTTGACTTGATCATTCTGATTATACTTGGAGAAGCATACAAGTTATGAGAGATTCTCCTTCACAGAAACCTAACATGTACTGAGTCCCCAAATGTACAGTACCGCATACCTCTTCCTCTCTTCAACAGTCACTGTTATGGAGAAATTTAATTTAAGAAAGCACCGCGATAGCGGGTTCGCAATGTTTGGGCCCCCCTTTACCTTATTCACACACTCAGAGAACTTCATAGATTACTGGTTAACCGGACACGTTTCACACCTGTTACTTCTTGACTCCACCTTCTCTTAGAGACTGTAGAGGTTCTGACTGAATCGCGTTTGTGGTTTCTTCTTTTCTTCGCTCACACCCCCGGAGTTTGTGTATTTTCCCATACCCGGTATAGCGACTAGACTACAGGCTCGATGATGGAGGAATCGGGTTTCGACTCCCGGCAGGGGGAAGAGACCGGCTCTGGGTCAACCGAGCCTCCTATACAGTGGGTACCGGGAACTGTTTTCATGGAGGTGAAGCGGAGGGGGCGTGACGCTGACCACTCATCTCCATCTAGTGCCGAATTGAAGGGTGTTAGAGCTGTACGTGTTGATGGGGTGCTGTTTAATTGAATTATGCCATATAGAACTTATCTGTTTACACCTTCGTGTTGGGGTGGACGGGAGGCTTTTGTAGTCGCTCTATTATGCGCCTGGCAAATGATTTTGCCTCTCTTCGCGGCTATTAAGTGCACAAGAATGGCAGTTCATTTTTACTGCCAACATGTCAATGTACGTACGTGTCCGTTTGGCTCCCGGGTTAGATTCCCGGCGCTATAAGATTTTGTGAGGAGTAGCGGGACTGGAACAGGGTCCACTCAGCCTCGTGAGAATAATTCAGGAGCTATTTCAAGGAAATAGCGGCTCCAGTCTAGAAAACCGAGATCAACGGCTGTGGCGATTCGTTGCGCTGGCCACGTGACACCCTCTATCCGAAAAAGTTGGCATTAACTTCGCCGACAAGCTGCGGTCCTTCGGTAGGTATAGTTCGCTTGGGGACTAAAGCCACAGAGTTTATGTTTTATTTTAAATTATAATGGAGTTTGTCACTCGAGACTGAGAGACTGTCTCTTGCTTGCTGTATATTCACTATATTTACAGTTATGTTTATTCCGCACCAGAACTTCCCCCCCCCAACTGCATCCGGTGTGTATGTCATGCGTTCTGACAAAGGATCCACCTAGATAATATGTCTACAATATTTTTGAGGGAGCGTCATCATCAGATAGGGATGTAGATTATTGATCCATTTTTCGAATATTGTCAGATTTTATTTGAAACTGGCGGTGGGAATCCAAGTCGCCGTACCGGAAGTGTCGTTACTGACACAGAATTCTCCTTCAGTACAGTTGTCTAACCATCGGAAGATGTACTGTCTAAGATATTTTAGACAAAGAACAGCCCATGTTGAATGTGACCTTCCCACAGCCGTTATGTCTAAGAGTACTATGTTCTGGAATGTAACACTGTCTAGTTCGGTAGACGGTCAACGACTTTTCGGAGGAACGTACTTCTTTCCTTCAAATCCGGCGAACTTCTTCCGACCTTCATGGAGTTAATCGCCCCCCCCCCCATACAGTAAAAGCTATCCTTGTAACAGGCCATGGAGGCACATAGCGTTGTGAGATTTTGAGGTTTCCACATTTTCTAGTCAGTCGGCTCAGAGATGGCGGTAAGGTTGTTAGTCTTACGCACCTGCCATCCCTTACCCCCAGGAAGATACCCTCGTACGTTAGAAGCTGAGTCGACACCAGGGCCATAGTGTGGCTGGAAGGATTATGTAAACTGAAAAAATCTACGTCATCGGAAATTGAACCCGCGATCTTCCGGATTATAGCATAGAACCTCAACCAGCTATGTTACCACGTGCTCCCCCATCCCCCCCCAAAAAACAGTACTCTTCAAAATATAACCCAGTTTGATAACCTCACATTTGTTTGTTAATATTTTTCTCAGAAATTTATGGAGTACAACTGAAAACGTTTGTTGCGCAGTATTGTCGCTCTGGTACATGTTCTGACCCAAAGTTCATAATGTTTTAGGTGATGACGACGGATGACAGTATGAGTGACGACGTATTCGAGTCGCCAGAAGACACAGCTATGACGGAGAGTGGAGGGGGAGGATCAGTTAGCAAACAGATGAATATGATGTCTGTTCCTGGGCAACACTCACAATTAAAGACACCGTCTCCAACAGGATACCGCGACTATAAGCCTCCTGTTGAGATGCTAAAACTGTACGAGCAACAGCAAGAAGAGTCTGAACAAATGGTACACAAGGTACGTCAAAATTATTGCATTGTATTCTGATGTAAACGCATCCTTCGTATTGGCTTCATAAATGGACACACTATAAAGACCTGTGGTTCTACGTTTCCGGCCTTTCAGAACTCGCCAATGAACCTTAAGATTGTTGAAACATCTCCTTATTCCTGTTTCTCATTATAAACTGCTTAAAGCATTTTCTTTTCGCCACAACTTCTTGCTTGGCCAAGTTTTATGATTATCATCTGCGTGTCTCGTGAACATTTCTGACTTCGTTCCATTAACAGTTTTGTCGTCTTCGCACTTCTTTCAATAGGCAATTTGAAAATCATTGCATTACTTAGATTTGCAAGGACTTGTGACAATTCCGAATAGTTTGTGGCCTTCTCATGGATAATATAGACATAAACCTCAATACTGGTGCTAGTAAGAGGCAATGTCAGGATATTCGTCAGAGAATTTTTAAAGGAACCCGGGCTAAGCTGTTCGAAGATGCTTCATACTTCTCTGCGCAGATCTTGTGTCATTGGTTCTTCTTCACCGCTGCTTGGTGCCTCCTTCCGTTGCATTTAGTCTCTTCCAGATTTGTACTGTTGACACAAAGAGTACAATTCTTCCGCTTGACTTCCGCTATGACTGCTGTTTCTTAGAGTCTCACATTCTTTGCGCAATACTTCTGATAATCCAGCTTCGTTTCTAACCCATTTAAACTTCACTTTTTTGTGAGTGATCACTCTGTGCCTTTTCTTGTTCTCTACGTAATAGTTAGTATCTAGGAATCGTTTATTATCTCTTATTTTCCCCAGAAAAAGTTCGTATCTGCCAAACTCTAGCTGATATCTCACTTAGGTGTACAATTATGATATGAAAACCCGGCATATCTCTAGTGTTCTGCGTTCCTAAAATGATTCTACCCTCATGTCTTATGGATTATTTTGCCTTAGCATGTGCCAGTTCTTTCCTACTCTCTACTTTATCAAAACTGAGGTCACTTTTCTTCATATAATTTCCTTTTAACAGACACTACCTTTTCCATAATATATGCCAGTTAATTTCAAATCTTGGCTTTCTCAAAGTCTGAGGTCACTTTTTATACGGCAATTCTAAACTCAGTTTTCAGGTTCTCTGTCTCGTATGTCAATCTTTGTCATTACTGTTGGGGCCTCTTTTATCAACACGTGCTTCCTGCACCAGGCGAAGCAACTGGGTTTACATTTATTTCTCTCCCCACCCCTCATTTTCAGTATCAATTGAAAGAAATCTCGGGTTGATACTGCAGGCTTCATCTTAATATCACTCTTCGTCTTTTCGGTTCGGCTTCTGACACTGGGAAGTCTCTTTACCGACTCAGTGCTCAAAGGCGCCTGTCCTCACTGGCTGGCAGTCCTGAGTTGTGCAGAAATTTGTTACTGGCATTCGTCAGCACAGTCATTGTTGGTTTCGTGCCTCGTCGGATCTAAAGGACACATATATATTCGTTCCAAGACCATTTACATGCTCTGAAATTGGGCGTCCCCTTCTGCGAGAACAGAGGTTGGTCTTTATGAGTAGGCGCCACGTTTGTTGCACCGTTATTCACAAATTTACCCGCAATCACAGCGTCCAGGAAAGAACATATGCACGTTATGAGCACTGTACACACTTTTTGAGTGCACTATACTAAATAACAACTACATAAGACTTACAGAGGACCTCTGTGAGTGCAGACTTGTGCAACAGGCTATGCCTTAACATATTTAGCCATTCTGAAACGTCAGTTAGTCACTTCAACGGTCATAGGCCGGACCGCCACCGAGTTCAAGTATTCAGAGCTTATTGAAAATGAAAGTCTAAGCTATCGATCTGTTCAGAAATAATGTAAATAAACAGTTCAGTCATTCTGCAAAAGTGCTGTATCTGGCAGCAACGTAGTGATCGAGGTGACTTGCCGATTCAGATCAAACTGATTATCTAACTATGTTGTGCTGCTTATTGTCTTACCACTGGATATGTGTAGACCTCCTGAACGTTTTCAGATATCCACTCATTGATGGAATTCCTAGGTCTATAACTCCATTGCCATCAACACAAAACTCTCCCGTAGACCCACTTCTGGTCCAGTTCAGTATAAGTCGCATCCGCCCAACCTGCTTCCATAAGACCGATTTTAATAACCAACCTTTTCTCTGTCAGTGTTTCTCAAATGGTGTTCCGCGAACCCTGAATTCCTCGAAGTGAAAATATGGGTTGCGCAAGAAAGTTTTTTATTGTAACTTTATTGATGTCACTTCAGACAGCTAATATATACAGTTAAGGAAATTTTTCTACTTATATTTTGGGGCGGCTAACGCCAAGGACATTTGGCTTTATCAAGATGTGAAATTCGTCATCTGATACCTTTTTTTTTACCTTCGCACTACAGCCCCAGTGGGCCTAGGCCTACCTCCATGAACTTCTCTNCAATAATCAGCAAAAACAGAGAACCAGATTAAATTCAGCGCAATATCTTAGAATTCAAGCTGTCAGTATCAAGCCGAACACACAGAAAATATTTGGGAAGAAAAGAAAAAAACTGCTCTTCACATGATAATTCCATGCATGTGGTACAGTAGGTTTAAGCTTCAGTTTTCGTATACATGAAATGCCATGCTTGTTTCTAAACGTGTACAATTAGACAATGCTTTTATCTCATAAAGTGAAGTAAAGCTATCCCTGTACCAGGCCTTGAAGGCCCATAGGGTTGTGAGACGTTGAGGCTCCCACATCATCTAGACAGTCAGCTCAAAGATGGCGGTAAGGTTGTCAGCCTTACGCGCCGGCCGCGCTTTACTCCCCAGGAAAATTATTTAATTAATTCCTGGTACTCATTTCTGTTAGAAACCTAGTTAAATATTTATTTATTATCATCCTTAATTATTTGTGGTCCATTTTTAGCGTCACATGGTTCTGTAAACTTTTTTTTTCCAATTTCGGAATGGTTCAGTGGTCACATTATTTTGGGAATCTCTAATAAAATTTCAGATAACCAAGTGAATATGGTATATAGGAAGTTCTCTTTATCTTCGGTTGGGGCGCTGAAGGCTTTGCTCAAATCCCACAGACTATTTTTCCCCGAAACATGTAACGCATCGCATTTTGAAGAAGTACCTAGAAGTGCGCACCGCATTCTCCTAAGCAGAACTGGCATAGTGACAAAATAGTTCAAAACTTGCGATAAAATTATCTTCAAAGCAGAATTTTTTCTTTAATATTGCCTCTCATTATCGCCATGAAATAGGGATGATTTGCATAAGTTTTCCCTTTCCGTATCACCAATAACAAACAAAAAGAATGGAAAAATTCAGAGTTTGGCGCGTATTTTTTATTAATGAAATCTGTCTGCTCTCTCTTCTCTGTAAGCCTATATGAAGTGTGAAGCAGATCGAGCAGGCAGCATGGGAAGGTGACAGCAGGTGATGGGTCAAAGCGTTCGATTGTGCACATGTAGTAAGGACTTTACACCTATTATAACAAAGATCTTCTCAAAATCTCTGAGTTTTAGGCGAACATTTTTAAGACGTAGCATGAGGTCTATTGGAACGTACCTTACTCATAGTAATATCCTTTCTTCAAAAATTGTTTTTTCAGGTCAATGCTATAGGAATGTACGAGAAAATAGGTTTCGGTTCTTAAGTAATGGATGTTACAACGAATGAACGCAAATGGACAGGTTTGTGATACTTAACAGAATTGCCATATTTTGGTTTTCATAAAAATCTACGAAATAACTGAAAAGTTTCGTATTTGACGCGAAATAGCCGTTAAAATGAAAGTAAATTAAGAAGAGTACTATCTTCTAGGATATAACACCGTGTAGTCCGCTTAAAGTCAACCGAAGTTTCGAGGAATATATTGCCACCATTTTCAGGGTATAATATGCCGGCTTATTCGACCTTGGAAATGAAGGCGATATGTTCATCCGCAAAGTCGGTTGTCTTTTAACAGACTACATGGCGTAATACACCAGATAATCAGCACTGTAATAACCTCAGCTCCCACAAAGTAAGTTAAATTTACACTTAGTAATAGATTTAATCCTGCAAGTGCATCTGTTCTACTTTTGCACTGAAGTATCCTAACAAAATATTCACGTGGGGCGTAGGGATTTTATCCAGTACACGCTCTATTTCCTCATGAGAGCTAGGGCCTATCCTATATACCAACACTTCTATTCTCAGTTGGAGCATGCGCAGGTAGAACAGTAATATCACAGCAACGACCTCTTGCTGCTGAGGGCTCATACGATATTCTACCACTAAAACAACTATCCATTCTTTTCTGTTGATCTGATCCTTCATGTACGAGAAAGGTCTTCTCCTAAATTGATGATTATTCTCTTTCAATAGAAAAATATGGAGTCTTCAGTGATGGAATAAACCTTGTCCCGTCTGACCTCCTGGATTAATTGCATTTTCAGGAACCTCATGCTCTTGATTTTAACGAAACAGACCTGCACAAAACCTGATATTCTAAATTCTTTATCTCTTCTCCATTTTCTGTTGCTTTGAAACTTTACTTACTGGAGGAGCAGAGGATGTTAATTACATAAGGAGAAAATTGGAAGAGCATGAGAAATTGGGGCCTTAAAAATAAATTATGGGAAAGCGGAATATTTAGGAACAAATTATGCAGATAAATTGAAAATTAATAGGAATACAATTCCAGCTGGAAAATATTTTGAGTATTTGTGGTTAATAGTTCTGATCTTGAAAATGAAAAGGATTAATGAAACAAGAAAAATTATTAAAACAAACTCCGTGACCTGTAGTCTGCAAGCGAATAATACCGACCGAGCGACCGCCGCTTGTCGGCGAAGTTAGTGCCAACTTTTGCGGGTAGTGGGGGTCACGTAGTCAACGCAACGGATCCCCAAGGCCGTTAATTTCGGTTTTCTAGACCGGAGCCGCTATTTCCTTGAAATTGCTCCTCAATTATCCTCGCGAGGCTGAGTGGACCCCGTTCCAGACCCATGACTTCTCAGAAAATCTAGTAGCGCC